TTCCTTGTGGTCTCTTTCCTTCTGGCTTTCCCATCAATATCCTATACGCATTCCTCGTCTCCCCATTCGTGCTACATGACCTGTCCACCTCATCCTCCTTGACTTGATCATTCTAATTATACTTGGAGAAGAGTACAAGTTATGAAGCTCCAGTAACGTCCGACGCGCAGGAGAAATATACCGCCTTAATTTTCAGACCGATCCTAAGTGTGAATGTGATATATATATATATATATTCCTCTGAAACGCCTGATTCTCACAGAAATGAGTAGCGTGACAACATCGCCTCCATCTTCAGGGCCTATCCCGATGATGGAAGCGATATATTCCTCCGAAACGTCAGGCTGTCTCCGCAGTAAACACAGTTAAATCCCAGAAGACTGCATCTTGAGGTTCTCGCGGCCGTGACTATGAAGAGTTCTATCGTCTGGGCCACGACGCCATGTAGTCCGGTAAAATAAAAGCATACCTTTCAGAGGAACCTATCACCTCCATCTTTAGGTTCGGAGAGTACGTCAAGAAAGAAACTGCCATGAAACAAGCGGAAAGGAGAGAAACTTGCTGCTGAATACTGATGTCTTGCTTCGTTTGCTGTAAGACCTTGAAGTTGGAGACGATATGTTCCTCCGAAACGTCGGTTCACTTCCTCCAGACTACACAGGCTCATATCCGAGAAGATAAAGCTCTTATAAACTAAACTTGCCTCAGTAAATTAGCATATCAAGCTTCATACAAGGCATGTAGTTGATACGTGGCATTATTAAATGGCGTCAAATCAATCGTACAAGTTGCAGTGAGAGTACAAGATCCAGTGAGATAACTGTTGCTTGTGGTTAACTGACACTGAAGTAAGCGTGGCCTGCTTTATAGTGTCGTTTGGAAGATCTGGATAAAAGCGCGATGAAAATAATTCAGAACCCTCAGCAGAGGAGATCTGAAGGTTCGCAGAGCCGACAGAGAGTAAAATAAGGTCATGAGTCAAGTCAGATTTGGCACCAATAATCAATGTGCAGCCTTCAGTCAGAACAGTGGGTGATCAAGACGAGATTCAAAGAGGACTCCTGTCATGCATATCTGTACTATGGGAAAGGAAGACAACGCTCCATGCTACATAGACCTCTCTTCGTTCCTTGAACACTCTCTAACACGAGTCTTTCTTAAAGTTCGGCCACACACAGCGCTACGCTATGTTCGCTACGCTGTGTACACTCTGCGACGCAGCTAACATAGGGAACATAGCGTACGTAGCGTACGCAAGTCTGTGTGGCCAGTCACATTGGCAATAAAGGGAGATATTTTTCTGTTCGTATAGCGAACATAGCGTACGTAGCTTGCGTAGCGCTCTGTGTGGCCGAAACTTAAAGCCTGTAAATCACACGACATGGTTATAGAATTGTACAGAACAGTATGATACTCTGTAGATGGCAACGATTACGATAATGCTTCGATGGATACGCAGGTGTCCGATCACAATGTAGGCGAGGTATTCTCTCGGTCGAACACAGGGATCGTGGGTTGAAATCCCACTCAAAGCATGGATGTCTGCCTGCATTTATTTTGTGTCTGTGTTCTTCTGTGTGTAGGCAGGGGCCTTGCGACGGGCTGGTCCTCCATCCAAGGAGTCCTACCGAATGTGTATAGGATTAAAGATCTGAAAAATCGACCAAGATCCAATAAAGGGGTTGTAGAGCCACAGATAAGACTTCAGATATTTGGACACAACGATAACAGATCGAAACCTGATTCAGGAGGAAATTAAGAGGCAATTGAACTTGGGTAATGCTTGCTACCATTCAATCCAGAACCTTTTGTCTTCTCGTCTGTTGTCAAAAAACATAAAAATTAGAATATAGGAAACTATAATTTTGCCTGTGGTTCTGTATGGGTGTGAAACTTGGTCTCTGACATTAAGGGAGGAACATAGACTGAGGGTGTTTGAGAACAGGGTGTTGAGGAGAACGTTTGGTCCGAAGAGAGATGACGTGACAGGATGTTAGAGAAAACTGCATAATGAGGAGCTTCATAACTTGTACTCTTCTCCAACTATAATTAGAATGATCAAGTCAAGGAGGATGAGGTGAGCAGGTCATGTAACACGAATGGGAGAGACGAGGAATACGTATAGGATATTGGTGGAAAAGCCAGAAGGAAAGAGATCACAGGGAAGACCAAGGCGTAGGTGGGTGGACAATATTAGAATGGATCTTAGACAGATAGGATGGGATGTTATGGATTGGATTGATCTGGCTCAGGATAGGGACCAGTGGAGGGCTCTTGTGAACACGGTAATGAACCTTCGGGGTCCATAAAATTCTGGGAAATTCTTGAGTAGCTGCAGAATTGGCGGCTCCTCCAGAAGGGCTAAGCTCCATGAGTAAGTAAGTAAGTAAGAGCCACAGATATATAGACAGGATATGCAGGTGGGTGTAACCTGTAGCCTGTTGATCGCAATATTCGAAATGTCTCTGAATTCAGCCTACATCTTCACACATATTTCTGTAAGATTAACTTTGATATTATCCTTCTATGTATGCCTAGGTTTTGCTAGTGTTAATTTTTCCGGTTCTACGAATACAATTTCTTATACAAGCCCCCACCCAGCTTATGCTTATTAATCTCGTCAGACTAATGATATTTTGTGAATAGTTCCAGTTATGAAATTCCCCATTTATGGTTCTTGCCACATTCCTGTTGCTTCTTATCTCTCAGTTATGAATATTCTCCTCATCACTCTGCTCTCGAACACTTTCAATCCCAAAAACAATTATTCTTCTTCTTTCGTAAAAGATTGGCATATAACTTATGAAATGTCCTATATCACAGTGATGTCATATGCGTTTAAGAATTAGTTCACATATTGCTCCTTACGCGCATAGCATATTTATTCTGAAACAGTGTCTCAATCTCCTGTTTTCTTTACTAGCATAATGTTTTACCCGAAAATTCGTAAAAAGTAAGGAGGTCCGCTTCAAGTATCCATTCCTCACGAAATACACATTATTGATATAAATGACTAACACCTCTTCACAGCACACAAACGTTAAACATTTAACCAATTTTTTGTTCGACCCTACATGTTTCCGTACGGACTGTCTCTCTAGGTACCTTTTAATGTTTCACTTATTTATCTGTATTCCTTTCTTCTTAATCTGCTCCTTTTGTATCTTTACGGTGTCGAGGTAAGTAAATTTTATTTTCTCTTAATCTCAGACCGTCGGTAGGACTCCTTGGATGGGGGCATCGGCCCGTCGCAAGGCCGTTACCTAACACAAACAGAATGAAACACAAACACAAACAAACGTCCATGCCTTAATTGTGATTCGAAATCACGATCCCAGAGTCCGAGCGAGCGAAAATAGTTCATGCCCTAGATGTTCGGCCACTGTGATCGGCCAGTCAATTACACTTCCTGAATAGCTAATGTTCCTCCATGCGTAATTATCTTATTCTCCATTTACAGACAGAACTGTTTCCTGCTGCAGTCAATCTCACTTCTCCCCGTTCTTGCACATAAAATTAGCAGGTTTTTATGTTTTCTTAGCACGAAGTGCACAATTCCATCTCCGTCTGTCTGTCTGTTCCTCCTCTTCTTCTTCACAATTAGTTAACGGATTCAATTATACTTCTAAATCTTGTCTAATTAATTACATTTTATTTCTTGCCGATTCACTCTAGTCTCTACTTTAAATTGTGCTCAAATAGATGATAATGGTGTTTCTCAAAAGTGGCAAATCGTACAAGTACATAACATAACTCATTCGTATGTAGAACATTAAATACTATAAGTATATTTGAAAGCACGTTCGATATGATGTACATGTCAGTTCCACATCCTCTGTAGCATTTCTACTGTAGTTACCCTTACAAACGGCAATTTATTACCCTTTGCTCTTCAGTTCTGTGTGAAAAGCAAGTTTATATTTGGAGACTTGACTAACACTGTGCTACATCTCACTAAATTACACAGAGTGATTCTAAATTATTGTCGGTGTCTCCGTTTCTACGCCACGGAAAAAACGAAAATATTTCGGAATCGACCTGTTTAAATATTACTTAAAAACTCCTTCTGTTTGATGTATAATTTACAGAATACATAAAGATATTAGTCATTTATTTATTCACTGTAACATGTAAACTACTGTAGGATTTGAGGTTTTCACAGTGGTGGTTATAAAAATTTCTGGGAAAAAACGCTTCATGTTTACAATGGTTAGCCTTATAAATAACAACTTATATCCCTGTGGATGTCCATACCTTAGTGTTCATGTTCTGTGTTTAGAGTTGCAGACCATATGAGAACTCGAAGATCCAAAGCTCTAAGAGAGTAAGAATATTGGTACATATTACTGTACTGAGACCAGAGTAATCTTCATGGGTTAGGCTATGGTTGGTCTGTTCCGTCCTATTGAACAAATAAAATTATTGATATAATTTCAGGGTGGCCAGATAAGAAATGCTAAAAGACACTTTGGATATGAAAGAGAGAGAAAATAACGGAGAGGAAAATATTTTAAAAGGATGAGCCACATAATTCATAAACTTCGCCTAATATTTTTATGATTAAAGTGGTTGAGGTACACGAGATATCGGGAAATTGGAAATGCACATAAATTATTGTTGGAAAATATAAATCGAAGAGAATGGCGGAACTTGAGGATACGGGTCTGATTTATGTAGTACAGATAAAGGTAAAGCTATCCCCCTAACAGGCCGTGGAGACCCATAAGGTTGTGAGACGTCGAGGCTCCCACATTTTCTCTAGACAATCGGCTCACAGATAGCGGTAAGGTTGCGAATCTTACGCTCCGGTCCTTCTTTACATCCAGGAAGATTCCTGGTACTCATTTCTGTTAGAGGCTGAGCAGACCAAAGAGCCAGAGTGCGGTTGGAAGGATTAGGTCAACCGAAATAGGACAGGACTTTTTTAGGATTACAGAAAAGCAAGGGATTTATTGCTCGGTTGTATAATAGGGAGTTTAATTTGTGGCATTTGTTGGAAGGTGTCGTGGGTGCGCCACCGAGACATCCATCTGCTGACCGTCGGACGCTATACCTACACTAGCGACCAACGGTTTCAGTCTATCCACTCGCCTCAAACAGAAGACTGGATGCTGCAGATTCGTTACCCGCAGAGGAGGGACTCCGGCTTTTATGAGTGCCAAGTGAGCACCACTCCTCCCATCGGGCACTCCATGTACCTCTCCGTGGTGGGTAAGTACAGGACCTTTGTTGCGCCTCGCGGTAAAAAGCAGTGCATATATGACGGTTTATTTAGACCAAGTACATTGAGGGCACGAAATTGAACTGTTGCGATAAGGAATTAAGGGTACCACTTGCTGTAACGTTCAGATACTACAGCTCGCCATCCGGAAGTATACCCAGAATAGAGAGATATTATTTTCCCGAATGTCATTAACTAATTAATGATAATTGTTATGCAGAATATGTGAATATTCTTTGAGATATGGCCCCAGAATCCATATATTAATTTCATAAAGAAATGCAGTTACATTAATTTTGCGTAAAGGGACTGAGATAACCACGTAAAATCTCAAGATAATCTCCCTCTAGGCGAGCTTTGATAAGAGTGAGTGACAGTCTTCCTCCAAAATGTGCTATGCTGCCAGATGATATTTTGCAAGTATTTTTATTTTTTATTTCTCTATAAATTTCTCATTTTGCCTTTTTCAACCAATTTTCAGAAACCGCTATCTCAATTCTCAAGGACTAGCCACTGGCTGAGGCCTTTAGTATGATGGACAAAATTCGAAAAGATGTCCTCACCAATTGTTCTTTCCCTCTCCTTGTTCATTCAAATCTCTCTCTCTCTCTTGCCCATACAGGCACTAGACACAGATTTCATGGCTACTGTTTAATTTATTTATCGTTTTATTTTCCTTTTTTTTTTTTTTCAAAAACAAAGTTGGAGATATGCGAGTTGTATACCCACGTCAGCATATATATCTGCGCATGCGCATGTGCATCCTGCCCTTGCCAATAACGGCGCGCCAACTTCGCCTTCCTTAATTCCCTGTGATCAGCAATATCACAATTGCAATCATTTGGAATGGCTTGCAGCAAAACCGTGCTTCCTTCATAAAAATTCACCAAGTTCATCAACCTCGATGCTTGAAGTTAAATGGGAAAAGAAGCGAATATTATGGCTCAAAATCAAAGCAGTCTGCCTCGACCAGCAGCAATCCTATCTTTTAGCTATCTACGGCTCTACAGCCTTTTGTTGGATCTTGGCCACTTTTTCAGTTTCCTGATTTTTCACACGGTTCGTAGGACCTCTTGGACGGGGCATCAGCCCATCTTTAATCGGCTACCTACACACAGGACAGCATAAACACAGAATAAATGCACATAGATATCCATACAATTTGGATTCAAACCCACGATCCCAATGTTAGAGCGGACAAAGGCAGATCATGCCTTAGACCGCGCAGCCACTGTTATCGGCTGCAGCAATCCTACCGGACGAAAACAAATTTAATTCAACTGCCTAAACCAAAACAGTAACTATGTGCATCATCTACTTAACATAAAATAACTCTGCACTCTCCCCAAGACCGTATTTATGTTTCCGTAAGTATTCTCAGAAAAGCAATTATTTTCCTAAATAGCGGTAACTGATTGGTCTTTTTAATGAAAAAGCCGTGAGTTCTCTTTGAGGTGAAAATTTTTAAATATTATTTATATGATTTTCATCTCTCAGATGGTTAAGAATAAATTCTGACGTAGGTCTAGAACATTTCTGTCAATCGACAAATTGGATGGGACTGCCATCTGCTGGGAGTTATAGACATAAATGGGAGCGTAATGCTAAATGCATGATAAATAAATAGACTTAAAGAAGGTTGTGGACTGGGTCCTTGCGGTTGAGGATGGAGCCCATTAGTAGGATTTCGTGAGAAAGGTAATGGGCGTTTAGGTTCCATAATGGACGGAAATTTCTTGAGAGCATGAGCGATTATCGAAACCTCAGGAAGGACCCACGTTGCTTATGCGATGAATGACATTAGCGCTAACATCTCCAGAAGTCCAGTCTTCCTTGCTCAGGGAAAGCGGTTTTTTGGTGTCAAGCGGTCATCCGTCCAACATCAGACCACACTCGATGCTGCTTAACTTCACTAGCGTGCGACGATAAGTGATCGTGCCCTACGAGGTTGACCTTGCCGAACCTAGCTTTACTTGAGCGTAGAACGGATCTGAATTTTTGAGGCGTGTTAGTAACTGCTTGTGATAACAGTGGCCACGCGGCCTAAGGTAGGCAGCACACCGGCATGCGCCAAGACATGTAACAGTCAAGACACGATGTCTGCGACATGACGCAAAGAAAGGAGCACAGGTGAAATGAATGAGATTATGAAAACCGCCGCACACCGGTCTGAGTCATGATGCTCACGTCAGCTTCATGCAGACGAATCACGAATGAAGTAAGACTGCGTCATTTGTCTCATCTCTTGATGCTTGTCTTGACGCAGTTGGTGTGCGGTCGCCCTAAAGCATGAACCGTCTTCGCCCGCACGAACACTAGGATCGTGGATTCGAATCCCACTCAAGGCATTGATGTCTGTGTGCGTTTATTCTGTGTCTGTGTTGTTCTGTGTGTAGGTAACGGTCTTGCGACAGGCTGATCCACCGTTCAAGGAGTCCTACAAAGTGTGTATGGATTAAGTAATTGAAAAAACGAACAGGATCCGCAAGGGCTGCAGAGCCATGGATAGTAAATGTTTTTCTTATAAAGTTTACAGCGAATCCTCCCATCTCTGTTTTACTTATGTGGATGCTGTAGAAATGCAAGCTGCCAACAAATTCCATAGTACTCCAGATACATTGTTCTGAGACGCACTCAGTAGCAAGCATAATGAACCTGATTATACATAATCGTGGTCGGACACGCGATCGCAGGAATGAGACATCGTTAATTGAAAACATAAATACCAGCACTGTTTATGCATCCCTTGCACGAAGTGTATGAAGTGTATACAAACTGGACAGGACACGTATATCCGTTTCTTTCATCTCCAGGTCCGGAATACTTAACTGATTTCAATTAAATTTCGAGTTGATGGTCTCCAGTAATAATTTTCTGCAATACTCTCATTTGGGTACGCACGCATTCAAATACGACTTCATCAAGTTTTCATGAACGGTTTACAAACTCCGTTGTTTTAGTCCGCAAGCGAACTACACCGACCGAGCGACCGCCGCTTGTCGGCGAAAATAGTGCCAACTTTAGTTCATAGAGGGTGTCGCATGGTCAGCGCAACGATTCCCAAAACCTTTAATTTCGGTTCTCTACACCAGAGCTGCTATTTCCTTGAAATCGCTCCTCATTTATCCTCACGACGCTGAGTGGGCCCCGTTCCAGGCCCGCTACTTCTCAGAAAATCTGGTAGCGCCGGGAATCGAACCCAGACCTCTGGATCTGTAGCCAGGAACTCTGACCACTAGACCACAGAGGCAGTCCAAGAACGGCTTACACAAGATTAAAATCAATGTAACCGTTGCCTCTAAGTAATGAAGACGCATATGAGGATGGCGGTAAATCTGTGAGAATTTTAATCTCAGAACTACACAGAGGCAAGCTACAGCCGCTCTGCCATCCTAATCATTCGAGAGGAAGCTGTGTTGGTTTCAAACCTGGGCAGAGTACGTATATTATGGCAAGGAGAATAACCCTCGACAGTGCAGAAACACAACCCAGTCGTCCGGGCAATTTAAATTCACTGTGCTCACAGACCTACTCGTACACAAATAAGTGGATACGTAAACAAATGTCCGGCTTCATTGTGATATACTTAAAGGCTGTGCAGCTTACTGTCTGCCCTGCATTAATGTCTGCTCCCAGATTCAACTTATAGAGACTTTTCTCAAGACAGAGACCTAATTCTATAAACAACTTTTACGTTTCTTGCGTGGCAAACGCCGCTAACAGCCTTTAGATCAGACCCTCAGAGATTCACATGAATCTACAATTATTTACATGGGAATGGACGAAGGGGAATTAGGCCTGGAATGCCAAGCTTAATTGAATGAATGAATGATGATGAATAATTTCTCCATTGCTAACACTAGCAGCAGCACCTGGCTAATGTAATAGGCTAACTTCGGACAAGATCCTGATCCGATACATCTACGAGTATTTTCCAACAACACAACCTATTTTATTCATTTCAATATTATCCCCCTCTCGGCCTGTTATATTTCCATTTTCCAAGACGTTTCTCAAACAAGAATACTGAATGCATTTCTTATTTCCTCAACTTATTTTTTAAGATCCCAAATTATACACTAATTTCGTCCCCCGAGATTTGAAACGGCACTGCCCCAATGTAAGTCACAAGGGCTATACACACATTTTGAGCGTGTTAGGAAAGTGTCTCTAGGACTTCGGCGCAGCAAACCAATACTTGATGTGAAGGTAAAAAAGGATTATAGGGTTAGGCCAACCCACGTGACAATAGTGGTATGATGTACCACAAGTATGTTTCTTACTTACTTACTTAATCCTTTCCTCTTTTACCTTACGATGTCGAGGTTGTTCTTTTTTCGTTTTGACCATTTTACAGACGGTAGGACTCCTTAGACGAGTGAGCAACCCGTCGCAAGGCCTCTACCTAAACTCAGGACAACACAAACACAGAATGAGCACCTACACATACCAAACATCCATGTGGGATTCGAACCCACGATCCCGACTTCCGAACGAGCGCAGACAGTACATGCATCAGCCCGCTAGGCTACTGTGACCGGCACCACGAGTATGTACGTGCTTACTACAAAACACAGTGAAGGGACATTTCATCTTCTTTGGTGAATAAATATAAAGGAAATAACTAATAATTTTCATGAGAAATAATTAGGAGCAAAGGAGAAAAATAAATGCTCTTCTCTGCTCGAGACTCACGTCATGAAAACAACAAACTCCATGAAATAGAGTCCTGCTTGAGCAACTTGAGAAGAGTATATTGNGCTATTCACAGTCAGTTGTACTGAGTCAGTCAGTGAGTCCTGGAGCTACCGCCGAGTTAGCCAGCACCTAGTCAGTTGTATTCTGGCATTTGGAGTGTATTAATTGTGATACTGCAGATAGCAGTAACCGTAAATCTGTAATTTGGGTGATTGTAAGTGCGAATGTGAAATAAAATTCGCTACATCAAATACAGCGTGAAGTTATTTGTCGCGATATACGCCCGATACGC